CACAGCTCTAGTTAGCCTAGCCCCCGGCTAGCTATCGAGCTAGTGGGTAACAGACGTCTCCGAAAACGTCGGAGCGCTTTTGAAAATATGTGGTGTCCTGATAAACTGAGCAGATATTTGAGGTTTACACAGCTACATTCTCCATGAAAATATGTTAAACGTTTATTTTGTGACCCAGAAAGAATAATAAGAGTAACATTAAAACTAACTAGCTGCCGCCATTGTTGGAAACTGAGCTGGGCTGCGCTATGAATTCTGGGACACAGCTGCTTCTTCTTCTTCTTCGGGGTTTAACGGTAGCTGGCATCCTTGTACATGCAATGCTGCCATCTTCTGTTTCAGTCCGTTATTACACTCTTAAATCCTGCTACTTATTCCTGCGTCTTTTGTGATCTTACAAAGCTTCAAACGACGCGTCGACTATTAAATCAGTCATCGACGATTTTGATAGTCGACGTAATCGTGACTAGTCGACAAATCGTGGCAGCCCTACTGCTAAAGAATACTCCTGCAATACTCGGATTACTTACTTGATCATGTGAGCAGCATAGGCCCGGGAGCAGCAGCTGCTGTAGGGGCACAGCAGGCAGTGGACGTGAGTCGGATAGTGGGCGGAGAAATCGGAGGCGTCGGTCCCGCACTCCAAACACACCAACCTGTCGTCATCACCTGACCTCCTGCAGGAGGAGCGGAGAGACACACCTGAATCATGTGACATCAACAACACAAGAGGAGGGGCCCAAAATCGACGTCACCTGTCACCGTCAGCCTCACCTGTTGCCATGGATTCGACGGCTGCCCAGCTTCTTGGTCGGGGACCGCGGTAATTTTGATGCTGTGGGGTTCTTCTGGATCAGAGACCTCTGTGGCTCCATCTTGATCTTGATTGGCTGGATGAGGGAGGCGGGGTTCTGGAGGAGGCGGCTTCCTCCTGATGTCACCAAGGGCCTTATCTTGCCATAGGTCCTGATGGTCACCTGAAGACACATGGACCAGTAATGCCACCTGTCTGGAGCAAGACATTTAAATCAAGACGAAGGCACTGACCTTTGACCCCGGCGGCAGGCCCTCCAGCTGAGGCGGGCGGCGGAAGCTGCGGTGGTTTTCCAGTTTGTGCTGCATCTTGTCTTTGAGGAAAACAAACTGCAGACGACACCTGTTACAGTGGAAGGCCTGGTTTATCTGGGAACAGAGAATTTCAAATTAAAAGACCCATCCACTTCCACTGCAGGAAGTCTACACCTGGTGTTTGTTCGTCTACACCTGGTGCGTGTGCTTACCTGGTGTTTGAGCAGGTGCTGCCGGTAGCTGACGGGATTTCTGGTCACTTTCAGACAGAAAATACAGAGCAGGAAGCACGAGTCTCTGTGGAAGCTGGAGAAGTGCTGAAGGACGTCCGAGTAGAAGGACGAGCGATACGAACACACCTGCGAGGTCGTAACACCTGAGGTAAGGATCAGACCTGACCTAGGACGGCCCGTAGGTGGGAAGGGGCGGGTCAGTGGTCACTCACCTGGCAAACGTAAGGCATCTCACCCGGTTTGTGGTTGGACTTCATGTGGTTTAAGAAGAGTGGCTCGCTTTCAAACGCCCACTCACAGATACGACACATACCTGAGAGACAGACAGGTGACAGGTGAGCCCTGAGCCAACGCAGCTCGTCACACATGCAAAAACACAGGCAAGCACTCCGTGTGTGGGTCTTACAGGAGGAGAGGGTGGGGCCGTGCACCTGGTCCTCGTGGCTCTGCAGCTGAGCGTCAGACGAGAACTGACGGTAACAGAACCTGCAGCACTTCCTGTCATCATCGCCGCCGCCATTAATCAGCTCTGAGTGCTGGAGCATGTGCTGCATCAACCTGCACACACACACATTAAACATACAGAGCACCGCATCTGTATCCCGCGTGTGCTCAGGTGCTCACCTCAGGTTATTCTCTGACAGGTGAGAGCAGATCTGGCAGGTGAAGGTGGAGGTTTTGATTCCCAGTGGGAGGGGCTTCCTCAGACTCAGATCACCTTCAAATGTGCCATAATAAAACTCCTCCACGCTCATCACCACACGGGTGGAGTCAGCCGAGTTTGTGCTGACAGTCGAAGGGGCGGAGCGAGCGGCTGTGGGAGCAGGTGACACACACACAAAGGTAAGACGTAACAAATCTGAGCACACACAAGCACTGACAGGTTATTGATGTACCGCTGCTGATGGGAGTGGCTCTGGTGACGCCATTGGCTGAACCTAAGGGGAGGGCGGGGGACCCAGCCACCTTCAGTGTATTGGCTCCGCCCACTTGGGTCACGTGGAGGTTAACTGAAAAACATGAAACTGGTCAGTTTGAGTCGTCCTAAAAGAAGCTCCTCCCACTCTAGGTGTCACGCTCACCGGGTGCTGGTGTGCTGGTGCGAATCGTCAGCGTGGCGGGCAGCTGCATGGCAGTGAAGGTCGAGCCGGGCTGGGTGGGACCTCCTGAGGGGGCGGGGCCTGACCTTACCGGCGACACGCCCACACTGGGCCGAACCAGCTGACCCAGCGACGGGGCTGTGGACAGGAAACGGCTGATTAGCGATCGGCTGACATCGATCACGGATTTCGTCACCAATTAGATCGACCTACACCGGATGAGCGTGAGCGGCTGCACCGTCTGACCCGGCTGCAGGTTCAGAACCAGAGGAGCGCCGGGGTTCACCACCGTCTGCACCGGGAAACCCTGTACATCCAAACACACGACATCACCATGACACAACGTGGAGACTCAACAGCTTATCTCAGATGTAGTCCCGCCCCCAAATCTGCCCCTGCTTCCTGCTCCTCTCAGACTGGACATCGTCACCGTCTAGAATCTATTCCATTCGATTTGAATCTGGGAAATTTTGCCTATAGAAAGGAAGCTGACACTCGCAAGACTTTATCAAAGGTGTGAGCATCACAGCGAGGCCTTTGTGTCAAAGTAGCTGAAGATAAAACAGAAAAACATGAAGGTGGTTTTTGTGTTCTGGGATTTTATAAAAATAGTCTGCAGTACTTCTGCTTGTGGGGATAGGTTAATTGGATAATCCAAATTGCCATTAGGTGTAAATGTGCGAGTGAATGTGAGTGCGAATGGTTGTCTACGTCTATGTGTGTTCGCCCTGCGACAGACTGGCGACCTGTCCAGGGTGTACTCCGCCTCACGCCCTATGACAGCTGGGATAGGCTCCAGCGCCACACGCAAAAAAAGGATAAGCGGAAGCGAATGGATGGATGGATATTCTGCAGTACATCAAAAACGAAAGAAAACCATTAAAACCCTTTGACTGCCTCACCAAGATAAATACAATGAAAAAATTATTTGTTCATATTTTCTATTCCTTTAGGTCAATAATGATCACAATCAAAAAAAAAAAACAAATTTATACACACCTTATAGTTTTTTAAATATTACCCTCTACCAAACGGTTGAGATGTCTCTCTATAGTACAACTACATAAAGTTCTACAGACATAACTAGTAGAAAAAAGTAAAGGTTATACTCATTTTGCAAAACAATAACTACCCAATTTTGTGTTTGACCCACTTTATTGTGGTAGTAAAACATCAAACATTGATGGATTCCATTTCAACAGTGGGCGTCATAATAACAAACCACAAAATGTATAAAACACAAAAATATTGTAAATTTGATCAAAACTTGATCTGCAATTACCGAAAATTCATAAACATACAAATTCACTTTTGACCTGTTGTTAACATAAACTTTTCACTGTAGTGTTGGAACAGCACTAACATTTTTTTTTTTTTCCCCAGAAAATTCTGGTGGTATATTATATACCATTGCCATTTTGCACTGAAAAATTTGAGAACACACTGAAACAGTTCTGGCTCTTTTCTTTTGCCGTTCATGCAACTTCACCAGTACCCCTTGATGATTAGATCTTCTGGTGGTACACTGCAAAGCATTCCTGACTGGCATTCAAGCACAAGAAAACATTGCATTTTTGGCATTTCCATCTTGAGACGCCCTTTGGACAGTAATTGCATCGGCCTCGCTTGTCAAAGTGAAGTGGCCAATGCCCAAAGCAGTCATATCGCACATCTGGCTGTGGTTGTGAGGGTCTTGGGGTGTATCGTTTCTTTGGTGGTGGTGGAGAGCTGGATGATGGTTGGCCAACTTTGGATGCTGGCTTGTTGACTTGTTTCAAGCTATGCGCAACTGCCAGGCGGAATCTTTTGAGTGTGATTGGTTTCTGGTTTAGTTGTCCACATTCCCTCTTGTAGACCAGCCAGGAATTTGCAATGGACAGATCAAGCATGTAACCAAAGAGTGGCAGGTACCATCTTGTAGACTTGGCTGGGGTCTTGTACAGGTGTACCAGCATGTCAGAGAGATCTATCCCTCCCATATGCTCATTGTATGCAGGGATGAGTGATGGGCATGGGATCATAACTTTCGCCTTGGACTCTTTGCTCCAGTGTTTGACAGTTGAAAGTGGCATGATCCCAGAAGCATTACTTAGCAGGTTCACACATTTGTTGTCAAACCATTTAACTGCGATCACACCTTCAGCAGACCTGTAGTCAAAAGCTCTACGCCCTCTCTTCATCAGCTCTTTGTCTGTCATCAAAGTGGCTCCACCTGTGCGATTTGGTCGAACAGTGCCAATGCACTTGACACCCAATGAGGTGTCTAGGTGCTGGACCAGCTTAAAACTGGTAAAATAGTTGTCACAGAACACAACAGAAAGCCTTGGCTGTGTTATGGTTTGGCAAAGTGTTGTCACCACTTTGGCTCCCAAAGGTAACATCTGCTCCTCTTCACTGAGGGTAACGTTGAAGAATGTGGAAGGTCCCTGACCAGGTCATGAATGATGCCAGATGAACTTGCTCGGCAAAACACCTTAAAGCCCCATTCGTCTGGCTTGTTGGCAATATATTGACGGAGATTGCCAGCCCTTGTGCCTTTATATGCTACCATGACCTCATCTACGCTGTGCTTATTTGTTGATGGCATCTGGAGGCATTGCTCACGAAGCATATCAAAGAGAGGTCTGATTTTTTTTAAATCGGTCTTGACTCTCATTGCACTGCTGATTATCACTGAAATGAATGAACCGGCGAAAAAGCTGGAATCTCTTCTTTGGCATGATATCTGCTATCACACTGAAACGTGACTCATGGTGCCAGTAATCCTCTAGCGATGGAAAGTTGAAAACACCCATGAATAGGAGGATTGCCAGAAAATCTTCAATTTCCTTAGGGCTAGTCTTGATTGTGTCCCCCAACTCTTGAGCAGAATACAGATTGGTATGATAGGCAATATGATCAATCATTTCATCAGTGAAGAGCATTTTGAAGTACTGGAATGGGGACTGTAGGGCGTCAGGCGTTTCGAAACTTGCATCTGGAACTTGAAATTCTTCAATGTCCTCATGCTTCCAGATTCTTCTTGTGTCTTTTTTTGGGACTAAAGAGGAAGATGGGTCTAATGTATCCTCTGCTTCATCCAAGGGAACTGTTTTTAGGATAGGTTTCCCTTTTTTGCTCATTTTACGCAAAAGTTTATTAGATCTACTTGTTGAAGGAGCATCTTCATCCAGGGAAACATCAAAGCAGCTTTCATCACTATCATCTGCAAAATTGGGTTGAAAATCTGGATCCTCTATTGGGTCATCATCACTCAGTTCACCATCGGAGTCCTGAGAATTTTCAGGTACAAGGGCCAGGTAGGTGCGTTGTCTTGCTCCATAAAAGGATTTGCAATCCATCTAATAAACATTAAAAAAAATACAATTGTAGAAATATAGTTGGTTTGATTTCCATGTGTCATTTAAAACTGTACTCTAAAAAATAATCACAGAAAGTGAGTAAATCTTTAAACATTAGAACATTTTGTAACATACAGTATTTGTCATGGAAAAATGTAAACATGTCATATTTACATGTATAGATCATTAAATTATTTATATTCAATAGTAAATAGTCAATTTCATATGTTAAAACAGCAGTTCTAAACATTAGCTAAGTTTTACTACTCTTACCATCAATTGACAAATCAACCGTTTGGTTGAGCATGTTTTTAAAAAAATATTACGGATTTATTACAGCTATTTTCTGGTATCAAATGACATAATCATGTTCAGTAAAGACTCTGACATGTTTATACTGTAGAAAAATGTACTTACCTTTAAAGTTTTTAGCCAAAACAGTCCATGTGTCCAGAGTGATTTTTTGCTTTCTGATTTCTTGGTTGGAGGGTGGCAGATGAGGCCTGCCATATCCTGACACAGTGCCATCTAGTGTTTTTTTTAGGATAACATAACTCAACCAAGTGGTAGAGATGGCTCAATAAGGTTGAGTTAAGCTAAGTACTCCAGTTCATTATATATAGTCTCTCAAAATATGCTAAACCAAATGTTTGAGCAGGCAGTCAAAGTTAATCAACACATGAACATTACCTCTGAAGTTACAGCGGTTTTATTACAGACACAGCGTTTTGCATAATTTAAAAAAAGTTTAAATTTGTGCAGAAGCCTGTTGAACGGCAGAAATTAGGTTTTCTTTTTGTGTGCGTGACAAACAAACAAGATTTTAGACGGGACACACACACACACACACACACACACACACACACACACACAGACAGACAGACAGAGAGAGAGAGAGTAGTTTACGTCTTTGTGCAGAACCTGAGATTCTGGCGTTTCAGGCAAAATAAATTTATACTTAAAAATCCTTTCAGGATTTTAATGAATCGATTTTACGTTATCCAAGCTAGAATCAATTTTAATCAATAAATCGATTATCAAAACCCAGCCCTAACCAAAATCCTAAAGTGAACTTCCTGTTTTATGTCACCAGAGTCGCACTGAACCAGGAGAGAGTTTACTCAGCTGAGCAAGAGGATTTCCTCACAGACCGCTTTTCACAGCGCCCCCTGCTGGGCATGAGAAAGAATGCAGGTTTAAAATGCTGCACCCACGTTTTACATCAGGGTGGGGATCTCCAAGGGCCGGTGTCCTGTGGGTTTTAGATCTCAACCTGGGCCAACACACCTGAACTAAATGATTAGTACAGGTGTGTTGAGGAGGTAATGTAGCCATTTAAATCAGCCGTGTATGCTCGAGGACACGTCCACAACCTGCAGGACACCGGCCCTCGACCAGCCGAGGGAGTGGCTTAGTGACCAAAACAAAATAACCAAGATTATGATTTAAAATAATCGTGAGCAAAACACTAAATCACTGTTCCGACAGCCTGACTGCCTGCAGCGGTTTAAAGGGTGGAGCCTAAACTCTGGATTATTGTTCATGGTTTTAATTTATTACGCTAGAGTACACATGTATGTTTCACGTTATGTTACTCGTTATTCTCACGTTTTACTCATTTCACAGAGGAGCGTTCGGCCTGGCTGACCTGCTGAAGCACAGGGTGCGTTTGATTTCCATACCTGTGTAGTGGTGAGCAGGATGGGCTGGCTGCTGCCGGTGCCGGCGGCCGCTGGAAGTAGGAACGTTCCACCCGCTGTCTGAGTCAGGATGAGTGGTGGAGCTTGAGCCATCAGGCGTGGGGCCGTGGAGGCAACAGGGAGGCGCGGGGCAGAGGAGGAGGCGGTAACGACAGAGGAAGGAGGTATCACAGAGGAAGAGGAGACGACCTGGGCAGGTGATGAAGCTGAAGAAGAGAGAAAGGTTAGCAGAAGGACTCGGTGAAAGCTTTTACGGAGGGACGTGGAAGCACAGACTGCTCCTCCACATCCAGGAACACCTTCAGCTCACAGCACCGCGTCTCTGCTGCTTCAGGCTGTTCCAGGATCAGCTTCAGACATCGTCACGTTTGGTTCTCCAACAAAGCTGCTGAAGCTCTGCCTGTCCCAGAGAAGAGGTCTGCTGCTTTTACCTTTGACCTGCTGACCCTTTGCTGCCACTTTCCTCCACACTGTGTTAGCTCTGCTGCTCTGACACACGAACATCAGACAGAGAGCGCCACACTCAACACCTGAACCTGACGACACCTGTAAACTCAGCTTTATTCATCTCGTGCTAGATCACACAGTCAACAGTCATGCTGTGAGAGTCTACAGTAACACAACTGATCTAAGCATCCAAGTGAAGACGCCGTCTGGGGCTCCTGTTGTGTCATCGGCTATTCAAAGAAACACCGAACACATACCTGTTGCAGCAGGTGTGATGATGGGTGGGGGGGTCCTTGGAGGTGGAGTCTCAGAGACTGGGAGTGGAGATGGAGAATCCTCCACTACATGGAGAGAGAGAGAGAGAGAGAGAGAGAGAGAGAGAGAGAGAGAGAGAGAGAGAGTCTGGTTCTAGGGTTTGACTCAGGTCCAGAGTGTCCAGAACTGGTTTTAGAGTTTGGACCTGGTTCTGAGACTCACCTGGCTCTCCATAGTTGTCCATGAAGTCCATGTCATCTTCCTCCACACTGTCATCCACCTGTTGCCATGGCTCCAGCTCCTCCTCCTCACACTCCATAAACAACTCTGTATCCATGTTGCTATGGAAACCACCAGAGAAACCATCATTGTAACCACGATAAAAGAAAAATCTGACCAGCAGCATTTCCACTACGTCACATGACATTGGTACACTGGTACTGCACACCTGCAGCTTAGAGTTATATTTAACCTGAGAGCCAGGTGAGCAGGTGATCTTTTCACAGGTAACTTTAGCTGTAAATACTCGAGTGCGTTTAGTTTCAGAGAACACCTGTGAGCCCAAAGACCAATGAGAGAAAGGCGGAGTCGTCTCTCAGCATTACCACAGTGACATTAAACCAAAAACTACAAACAGACATGTCCTTCAGGGACAAATCAGCTGAAAGACTGTGTTGCGTCCACAGCCTGAGGACGGGTCCATCAGGTTTGATCAGCATCACAGACGCTGATGTTTGTGTCAGTGAACCTCACAGCTGCGCAGTTCAGTCCCGGTTTGAACAGAAGTCGGTAGATTTAAAACATTTATGATTTAAATGAGGACACATGTGCAGTCCAGTCAAACACCTGCGTTTGCCGAACACGCTGATCAGGATGACCTGACCCCGCTGATCACGCGCACAATCACGGCAGCGGCGTTAGTGTGGACAGACTTCCGGTCACTGTGACGTTTCGATGCCTTCTGTTGCTGCCGTTTGTGCTCTGTCTCTTTGTCACGGCCCTTATTTTAAATAAAGTAGTGGTGTGATTAACAAAGGCTGGCCTTCATTCGCTCAGCTGACGGTGAAGTTAAACAACAGCAGCTCTGCACAAACTCTGACGTCGGTAAATCTTTTTAAATAAAGTTGGGTTCAATCAGCTGTAGTTGCAGGTGTAATGGCAGCTGCCGCCACAGGGGGCGCTCAGCCCGCTCTCCGGGTTTTTGTTCCTTTCAACCCGGCTGAGACGCGCCTGTCGGCGGGGACCCGAACCTACAGGCCGAGCGGGCCCAGCTGAGCCGAGCCGGGTCACCGGGCTCTCGGTCAGGACCAGAGCTCAGCACGCAGCGCGCACCCCGTCTGCACCGCCCCGCCGGGGGCAGCTCGTCGCTGCACGCCGAGCGCCTTCCGAAAGCTTCAGCGGGGCCTGCGTGTGACGCCGGGACAAGCCGTGCCGGGCCGGGCTTACCTGAAACTGGAGCGGCACCGCAGAGCTCGGACGGGTTCGCACGGCTCTTCTCGAGGCGCGCTCCGGTTCGACAGTCAGGGGGCGGGCCTTCCGCCCGCTGCCGTTTTACAACTGCGGATTGGTCCGCACAGACACGTCACTTCCTGTTCAGGTGGCCCTGCAGCTCATTGGTCAGTGGAATCTTTGTGGAGGAGCTGAACCGAGTCGCGGCCGTCAGGATAGAGGCGAGCAGACCGGATTACCGGGCCGGGGGACAGCGGGCTCCGCGGCCGGTCAGCGGGGAGCGACGGGCGCCAGGACCGCCGCCACGCTTGGGCCAGGGCGCCATCTTCTTTTTGTTTTGTTTGGATGGGGCGTGACCAATGTCCGTGACGTCACGAGCTGAAAAAGCGCGTCGTAAAATAAAAACGAGTTTATTTTTTCAGGTGTTTGTGCTTCAGAAAAAAGTACCTCACACAGGTGAGGCTCACCTTTCAGCCAGGTCTCAACACAGTGGCACGCGCACTGAACTTCCTGTGACACGCTGTGATGTCATAATGAACCAGAAGTTTTCCAGAGTGTCTCCGCACAAATCACGTAAATCTAAAATGTATATTTTCTGAATCATTTTCAGCTTAGAGCAAAGAGAAGGTTTCATAAAATAACTAGCCCTGGCAGCATAACGTGCCGTTTTTGTCCCCGTGTTTCTGAAGCACACACCCACAGAGTGCTGATGTGGATCTGCAGACCTTTAAATTAGACTTTGGTTAGTAGAGTTTACTGACAGAGCAGATGAAACTCGAGCTGCGAGCAGGACTGTTATATGTATTATGTAGTGATTTTATTCTGATTTTATTTCATTTTATTGTTTACCAAAGAGCAGAGCGTCATCGAAGTCAATGTTATTGTCAAAACTACATGTACAGATCACACACAGGAACCTGCAGGGCTCCCGTGGCCCTCAGCGTTACACTAAACAACATGAAAGTCTTATACACACAAGTGTCCAACACAATGCGAGTGTTTGTGGGCACTGTGGGTCAGAGGGCAGACGTGGGTGCAGGTCTGGTCGACAGGTTCAGCATCCTGACGGCCTGATGGATGAAGCTGTCTCTCAGTCTGCTGGTTTTGGCCCCGAGGTTCTTCAGTCTCCTTCCTGATGGCAGCAAACTGAAGAAGCTGTTGGACGGATGGGTGGAGTCACCTGTGACGCAGAGAGCTTTTTGGGTGAGGCGGGTGCAGTAGATGTCCTGGAGAGAGGGAAGAGAAGCACCCACGATCCTCTCTCTGCTCTCACTGCTCGCTGTAGCTGTTTCCTGCAGGCCCAGTGCAGCAGCCGTACCACACGGTGATGCAGCTGGTGAGGATGCCTCTGTAGAAGGTGCTCATCGTGGGGGTCGAGGCTCTCGCTTTCCCTCAGTTTGAGCAGGAAGTAGAGTCACTGTTGGGCTTTACTGACCATGATGCTGTGTTCTTTGACCAGGAGAGAACTTCTGAGATGTGCACACCCAGGAACTTGGTGCTGCTTACTCTCTCCACAGCAGCACCACTGATGGTCAGTGGGGTGTGCAGGGTGTGAGTTCTCCTGGTCTATGATGATCTCCTTGGTCTTCTCCACGTTCAGGGACTCAGCCAGATGTTTAACTTCACTCCTGTCGTAGGTCTCATGGTTTGTTGCTGATGTGACCTACCACAGTTGTGTAGTCTGCAAACTTGAGGAAGCAGTTGTGTGATGGTGTGCAGTCGTGGGTCAGCAGAGTGAAGAGCACATCCTCGGGGAGCCCCCGTGTCCTGCTGCTGGAGGTGCCGGACCGACTGTCATCACTAACAGTTTCTTCTTCCTGCCCATGGCAGAGATTGGTGGTTTGTGGAACTGATTCCAGAGCAGCTCTGTGCTGGATAATCTCCTCTAATCTGTTAATCCTCCTTCTTCCCGTCTAGTTTAGCTCCCTCTCAGTCTGTTCTGACCTGCAGGGATGAAAGCTGCACATTCTGGGGGCTTCCTGGTGGCTGCCGTGGCCCGGTGGCGGCGGCAGCTCAGACCCGGCCCAGGGAGAGGAAAGTCAGGGCTGCCTGATGCTGAGATCTGGAGCTCTGCTGGGAGTCACGCTGATCTGTAAGATTTAACTTCTCATTAATTCAAACAGTGTTACATTACAGCCCAAATAATGTCTCAGTTAATAATACAGACTGAGAGCCACTGACCTGCATGAGGACAAATACATTCTTGTTGTTCTGCATTCGGGGTCCAGATCCACAGCTGGAGCCGCTGCTGCTGCTGTGAGCTTACATGCAGAGTCAGTTTTGATGCAGGCAGGTTAATGTCAGCGTTCCTCGAAGAGTTCATGAAGAAATACAAATGCTGAGTTTCTCACAGAAATAACAGATCCAGGCCTCGCCCCACTGCTGCCGTACTGACAGAGAGTGTGTGTGTGTCTGCAGGCGTGGCGGTGTTGAGGAAGTGGATCGCAGGTGGAGTTTGTCGCTGTTCGGTTCGTCTGGATGGGAGAACAGTTGTGATCACTGGAGCAAACGCTGGCATCGGCAAAGAGACGAGCAGAGATCTGGCACGCCGAGGTCAGCCCGGTTTGATCCCGTCTTACTGCCCGAACACTCGAGTGTCTCCTACAAGAAAGGACGAAGCTTTAGAAGCTGCTGACAGGGAAACACTACAGTCCCATGTTGTGGGCGTGTTATTGTAATCTGAGAAACACCTGTGATCCAGCCAAACATTCCCACGCCATAACACTGCATCCACCCTTTTCTCTCCATCCTCCTGATACAGCTTCATCTCAGTTTCACATGTCCAAAGACGGTTTTCAGAAAGCGCTTGTTTTAAAGTCTGATCGATACCCAAGGTCTGCACCTTGTTGTATCTCCATCCATGAAAGCATCGCAGTGATCGTCCTGCACAGCGTTTCAGGCCTTTTAGACGCTGTGAAGTTGTTTTTCTTACCATGGAAATAATTCTGTAATCTTCCACTTCAGTGTTTTCTGTGGTCGTTAAGGTTCTTGGTGCTGCTGAGCTGTTTGGTGCATTGATTATTTTAAACACTGATCCACTGATTTGATTGGCTGTTCTTTAGTGAACGTGGTGCTCAGCTGTGGAAATCTTTCTTCGTTTCACTCAAATGTGATTGAAAGTCATTCGACATCTGTAACAGTTCAAAGCATTTCTAGAAGGTCATGAAAGAAGACGAGATGTGCGCGAGGGCGACTAATCCTGGCTCAGCAGCCGAGGCCTGGGCGCGTCCGAGTGCTGCCGCCATGTTTCCCACTCCAGGAACAGAAACTCTTCTTTCTGTTCTCACCTCACCACTTACTTTAAAAAAGCAATTAGTTACTAATTACTGATCACTTACTTAGTTACCTTATTACTTAGTTGCTTTTCAAAAAATGAATACACAAGCTGAATATGAAATAAACTGAATCGACCTTTCAGTACATTTTGTCTTCATATCATTTGAATCAAATGTAAAAATCTCTTTGTTGTTTTATGAGTTTTAACCTTTTAACTTTACGCATCAAGCAAAAATGAAATTATTTCAACTGCATGTTCCAGCATATAAAATAAAATCATGTTTTGTGTTTGCACAGCAGACGCTGATGTGTTTGTCACTTGTTACTGCATTAAGGAGCCCGGGTAGTGATGGCGTGCAGGGACCTGACCCGGGCAGAACGGGCGGCTGAGGAAATCCGCCGGTCGACAGGAAACGGTAACGTGGTGATCAGACACCTGGACCTCGCTTCCACGTACTCCATTAGACAGTTTGCTAAAGACTTCCTGGACAGCGAAGAAAGGCTGGACATCCTCATCAACAATGCAGGTGAGCGCACCTGTGAACAGGTGAGCGCACCTGTGAACAGGTGAATGCCCGTTCGTCTTTTTGTCGTTCTGAGCATCCGTCTGTCTGCAGGAGTGATGATGTGTCCAAAACAGCTGACCGAGGACAACTTTGAGACACAGCTGGCGGTCAACCATCTGGGTCACTTCCTGCTCACCAATCTGCTGCTGCCGAAGCTGAAGAGCTCCTCCCCCAGCCGTGTGGTCAACGTGTCCTCCGTTGCCCACCGTGGAGGTACCCCAACCTCTTAAAAGATCTCAGTGCTGATGATGTTTGCGTTGTTTCTTTAACACCTCATGTGTTTCTTACAGGTCGTATTGACTTTGACGATCTGTTCTTCAGCCGGAGGCCGTACGGCGCTCTGGAGAGCTACAGACAGAGCAAACTGGCTAACATCCTGTTCTCCAGAGAGCTGGCCCGACGTCTCTCAGGTCCCCACAAACACTGAACGCCACAAACGCTCAGAGGTCCCGTAAATATTCAAAAGCCTCAGAGGTCCCTACTGTAAAATGGTTTGACGGAGGAAGGGTTATCTCGCCTCTCAGCGCTGTGATGTGATTGACCGCCGAGCTCCCGAAAGTACCTGTGAACCCGCCTCCTGACTCTGTCCTCACCTTTCCTGCAGGCTCTGGTGTGTCGTCGTTCTCTCTTCACCCAGGCGTGATCCGGACCGAGCTGGGTCGCCATGTGGAGGGTTGGTTCCCCCTGGTCGGGCTGCTGCTGAAGCTCCCATCCCTGCTGCTCATGAAGACTCCGTGGGAGGGCTGCCAAACCAGCCTGTACTGCGCTGTGACGCCGGGCCTGGAGGAGTTGTCTGGATGCTACTTCAGGTAGGAGGCAGGGGAGGGGCCGAAGAAACACCTGTGCCTCTTTCTGTTCCCTGAGCATCTCAAAGTGTTAAAGTCCGAGGAGCAGAATTCAGGTAAAACAAGAGTAGACGGCTCTGATAATAAATGTGGGCGTGTCTGAGCTGCTGAATGGTAAACAAATAAAACCGTTCTGAGATCAGAGTTTTCACTTCCTGTCATTTCTCTGTTTCCTTTCATGAGATTTCTCCTCTCTCAGCTTTAAGTAGTAAACGTTCGAATAAATGGAATAACTTTTTAAATGATGTTACTGAAGCCTCTGCGTTTCTGCCTGCCAGCGACAGGGTGGACTACTTTGTTTCAGCTGCTGCTCGCTAGCTTGACTGTCAGCGTGCATCCGCAGGCTGTGAGAGGCTATCACACTGACACAGATACTGCTAATCACTAACATCCAATTAAAACCCACAAATTTCACTCACCTAAACCAGAGCTCCGCCTTCTTGGACATTAACCTAACAGCGGCCATATTATTGGTCAGACGATGTCATTAAAAATGAGGCTCCGACAGCACAAACACAGAGCAGAGGTCCAGGTCGCGCCTGCAGGCAGCGAGCAGCTACAGCTGCCTGTGTCAGCATCCACTTGTTGGTCAAAGAGGCAACGATGCAAACTTTGAACCTGGACGTTAGAAGAGCTGCAGGTTTTGAACTTCGGGTTGATTGATGAACAAAGACACGTTCAAACATTGCAGAGCTTTTCTGGGTTATTTCCATTTAAACACATTAAACTGAGTCACTTGTTCATTGTTCATATCTGTGTTTGCAGCGACTGTGCAGAGAAAGAAACTGCTCCAGAGGGACAGGACGATGTGGTGGCAAGAAAACTGTGGGAGGTGAGCACACGTCTGGTCGGACTGAAGAACACCTGCTGACCTTTAACCTCTGACACACGAAGCAATGGAGCTGCAGACTGCGGACAAATGAGGACAGAAACAAACAGATTTACCTCTTGTAGAGACAAATGAAGCTCTGTGTTGTTGCCCCGTTTGAGTCCCAGATGTTCCAGCTGCTGATATTTGTCCTGTCCTCCAGACCTGGACTCTCATGTGCAACATAAACCTCCATGTCCCCCGACTGTCCCCTCGCTGTCCCCTCACTGCTCCCTAAATATTTCCTGACTTTCCTTCGTTTTCTCCATTGTATGTTATTATTCCATCACGTATCTTCATGCTTTCCTCTTTTGATGCTTTCGTGACTTCCTGGTCCTCCTCTTTACTGGTTGCTGATGTGTGGAGTTCAGCTGTGTGGACGTGAAGCTTTGGGTGTTATTAAAGACAGTTTGACTGTTCTATACTCTGTGTGTGTTTGATAGATTCAGTAATAATAAATCCAGAATGCTCTGTGGGTGGAGCTTGGCGAGCACCTTTCTTTCCAATAAATGAGGCCTCATTTCTTACGCGTGGTTCCAGCTCTTCTTGGTATCACAGGGTCAGAGTGCTCCAGAAGGGTTCATTTTCAGCTTTGGGATTCTTGCAGTGACAGCATGGAGACACTGCTCGGTAATAAGAAAATAATGAGATCCTACCGCCGGCTTTCACCCTTAAATATCCGTCTTACCTTCTCATCCATGTCGTGTTTTGGTGCATATGCTAAACTGGCCCTCCATGATTTCTTCTTCATGTTTCAGATCATCAAACAAAGCTAGCCTGTAATACTTCCTCCTCAGAGCAGCATTCATGGTTCCCTCAGTTACAGCAAGTCGGACCACCACCACAGCTGCTGCTGCTGGGATGTTCTCTTTATGAAATCCTCTGTTAGTGTCGTGCTGATGTAACTGGACTCAAACTTTCCAGAGTTCAGCTTTGTCTCATCAGTCCACAGAATATTTCCTCAAGCTTTACACTGCACTCGCTGACGCCTTCAGCAGCTGCCGGTCGAACCACAGCAGGGAAACTGAGCGGGCTGAAAAAAGCTGCCTTTAATAACCCGAAGGTTCTTATCAAGAGGTGCCTGTGGAGTCTGTCCTTGTACCGGTGGGCCTTTCTGAGAGCTCTATGGTCTTATTCTCATTGTAAAGCTGTCAGTGAACCATCACACAAAGCAGGTGAGCAGGTGGCCATCGTAGTGCAGGAGGCCTCAAAAAACTATTCTGAGGTCTCTTGGAACAGAAGCATCAGCAGGTTTAAACGTGACGCTAATGACGAGTGAATAATGAAGACGTGTTCAACATACAGTCCCAGCCAACCCCAGGGGCTCGTGGGTGATGAAGTCCTGCAGTCGGCTGGATGTGACATCTTTTTGAATTTACAGCCTTCCGTTGAATAATTGATGACACAATCCGAAGGGGGGGGGGGGGCACTTCTACTTCTGCTGAAATGGCGGCTCCAATAGTGGGGGGGGGGGGGGGGGGGCGAAGACTTCCTGCTGAGTAACGATGGATGATAAAGAAACTCACAGTGGACTGACTGTTATCTGAATCGCTTTTATTTTAGTGAGTTCTTATCTTATTTTCAGTTTATTACTTTATTGTTGTTTATTTATAATAAAAATAAATTTGGAATTATAAGAAAGAAACTATTTTTAACCTTTGTTTATGTTGTTGTTATGTGTTCGCCCCTGGTGTCATCCAAGTAAATGTACTTGTGCTGTGGAGCTGCACTTTCAGAAGGACGCGTGATACGTCATCGCATCCTTGCAGCTGTGCATGGTTTCTATAACACAAATAAGAAACTAAATCTTAAAATAAATCCTGTGCAGTACAAAGTACAATCTTTTGATCCAGAATAAAGTCAAACAGTATCAGAAAGTAGCACAAGTACATTAAGCGTGTACTTAGTAGAGTAAATCTTTAAGTTGCTTGAAGACGTTTCACCTCTCATCCGAGAAGCTTCTTCAGTTCTAGGACTGAAGAACAGGGGCGATACAATCAGAGCTTTGGGGTGCTGAGCACCCAGAGAGCTGCCCAGCCAGAGCAAGATAAACTTTACTCGTCACGATGAGACGTCGTCTCTGTCAGTCCCTGCATCCTTAAATGTCTCCAGTTGTCCCGAGTTGTCTCTGACTGTCTCCTTTGTGCATTTAAACGCCTGTTCCTCGTCTGTTGTATTCATCTACGTTATCAGTCATCAGAATTTTACCGTCTCTGTGCAAATTTCTTTATTAAATCATAAGATTCTTAAATTCATCAAGTCTCTCTGTGCCTCTCGGTACGATCTCCCTACCACCCATTTGTTTCACTATTTTCAAATTCGAAATTTTGTTGCCAAGTGTTTCCCAAATTTCCCTCTTTGCCTCCAGAACAGCAGTGGGAAACTACGCTATCATTTATTCCTCATCACAGAGGAACCATTTCAAAACTCTATGACGCTATTCTGTCTTTTAGTAACCACTCTAATGTTAAGCTTAAGTGTCCACGGGAAGGAGAACTAGGAATTCAAATCCATGAGGAGTCTTGGGAACAGGCTATAGCGAGGGTACGATCGTCCACCTCCTGCGCTCCTCTTGGACTTATTCAATTTAAGGTCTTACACAGGGCGCATTTCTCTGAATCTAGACTTTCTGAATTGTATCCAGAAGTGGAAAACAAATGTGATGCAAATGCAAGCCCGATCCTTTTATTTAGCAAAACTGTGATTAATAGATATATATTATTGTTGAGGGGCACAGACAGGACTCTAACAAATAAATAAATAATAAATAAATAATTATTTGTTTAGGTTGCCTCAACAAAAGGGCACTTTGGGCACCCATCAGGAAAGGGCGGGTGCTCAAGCCCCTCCAGCCCCCCCCCCTGCACGTGCCTGTTGGGGATGTTTGATTGATGTTGGTGTCCTAACAGGAAGTACATCAGCACCTGGTCACATGTTCCCAGCTGATCCTGCTCTTCATGTTCACTCTGAAGAAGATTTTCTGAGACACTGGAAGCTGCAGGAACACAAATGAACCCAGGAAGTGCATATTTGAGCAAAATCAATACTTCATTCTTTATGTTTTATTGAAACACGTTCAGAGTGAGGAGCTTTTTCTTTGCTTCTGTTTTTAAAGCTGGTTCTTAAACCACAACAGGTCCAACTCACCCCACCATGAACATACTCTTATTATAAGCAGTGCACCTATATACAGCTGCAAACCTCTGTCACACACAGTCTGCACAGAGGACTCTCTCAGGACCAAGGGTCATGGTCGGGGGGGGGGGGGGGAATGACTGCCTTCAGAATAAAAGATGTGCCTTAATGCTGAAAGTGACACTTTTCAAATGGCACAACTGTTATGTTGAAGTGCAGATTCTCCATTTAATTTGTTTAAAAAAAACCAAAGTGGGCTTCATACATAATTGGCAAACCTTCTGAGGAAACCTGGTCTTGTTAGGGGAGACGGCATCCATCCCACTTTGGATGGAGCAGCTCTCATTTCTAAATATGGACAAATTTATTAAACC